ATTTTCAGAGAAATGTTTAGATTAAAAGATATCACGATTTTCCGACGCCAGGACGTGATATCTTTCAAAATCGATAAAAAGCGAAATTACTCTGAAATGGTTGAGAATCGGACCATGGACAATATGAACTTTTTTGTTCATTTTAGGGTGAAGAATCTACTGGAGAAGTTTGTAGCACGAGTAGCAATTCACCCTGTATATATAACTAATTGTAAATAATGTTTATGCGGCAATTAAGGCAAAATCCTGTTTTATATATTTTTTTAAATCACAAATTAAAAGATGTTTATGTTTATCATTATTCAGAAATCGTGAGATGCGGTCTGGTGTGATGTAGGTTTCAGAAAAACATTTTCTTTGTCGTGCCAACGTTTCGAACTTTGTTGAGATCATCTTCAGGGTTCAAAATGTTTGTCTTCTGTGTAATTGCGATTTGTCCTGCGTGTAAAGACACGACACGCAAGAATGGCACAATTACACAGAATCCAAACACTTTGAGCCCTGAAGATGATCTCAATAAAGATCAAAACGTTGACACGATACAGAAAATGTTTTTCTGAAACCTACATCACACCAGACCGCATCTCACGATTTCTAAATTAATTAACGTTATGTTTTATAATATTTGTTTTTGCATGCTCTAAATAACTATAATAATAACGAAAATTAAAAAATAATTGGTTAATTAATTTGAAGTCATGTCTCAATATCAAAAAATCTTGTTTAAGTTTTTATTGTTTATATATTTTTTACTGTTATTCATTGATTTCTTAAATAGATAAATATTGTCTTAAAAATTTATAAACCACAAAATTGTGGGGTTGTGCCATATTTAATACTAAAATGTGTACAATTTTATTTTTTCTTGTTTTCTATTTGTAATATAAATTGTAAAGTGTGCATAAATTGTATGTATAATGTAAGGCATACAACTCACGTTAAGTGGAAGAAAGGTTCACGTCGACTAACTTTGCGTGGTTAAACAAAACGTTTAATCAATCAATCAATCTACTTCTCTCTACTCTCGCTCTCTCTCACTCTCTCCTTCGTCTTTTAGTAGTTTTTCCCTGGTATTTTTCTATCACAATCATTATTTTTCGTTCAAATTGCCCTCCACCGAGTAACGGAAGTAATAGAAAAATCTCTCGAAGAAAAACNCGGCCGGATTCTCAATTGTAAAAGTTAAAGTAATTCTTATTAAAATTGGTGAAATTCAAGTTGCAGCTCGCATAGAAAAGATAATCCGCTTACAGTTATCGCTAGCCGCACTATCTCTTACGGATCCCGATACGTCGTACTTTCACTTTCATCAAAAATAAAACAATTACTTGTGATCGGTCTAATTAATTTTTTTTTTTCAACAAATTTGGTTAAATTTTCATAATTAAACCTGTCAATAGAGTGGTTACTTCATATGTTTCATTAAATATTCAAATTCAATTTAATTCATAAATTTTATTCAGTTAATTACAATTACGCCCAACAAAGTTATATTAAATATTAAAGTGTGACACCTCCTGTTAACCTGTACCTTCCATACTATTTAGTAAAATCATTAATTCTTATTTTCCTCTTGATTATTTCCTTTGTTTATTATAACCTTTTGACAGTTATTACCATCTATAAACATGCCGATAGAAAAAGACGGTAATGCAGGAGGCTCCCAGTTTTCATTGTCGGAAAAACAGACTGCCAAGCTCAATTATTTAAAATGTAAGCGAGATACTCTGCTTACGCGTCTTCAACGATCCCACGACCGCTTCAAAACCATAAATGCTGAAACAGCATCCAGTTTTTCTTCGATCTATGAGAGGATTGATTATTTGGAGGCCGATATCAACAAAATACAAGACGATATAATGAAGTTTAATTCAGAACTTCCAAAAATATCATACGGTCTTGAGGTTAATGAAGTGCAGGAAGCTGTTGAGGATATGCTCCTAGAAATGCGACAATTATACGGACGTTTTTCCTCGCCTCTCGCTACACAACATGTATCGTCTCCTACGTCCCAATCCAATTTATTAAAAAAATTGAACGTACCCACCTTCGATGGGAAAATAGAAGACTGGTCAAATTTCATCTCACTGTTTGATTCTTTAGTGCATAACAAAAAGGAGCTCACTCCTACAGAAAAATTCCAGTACCTTCTTTTATGTTTAAAAGATGAACCTCTATCTATTGTCAGCATTTTTAAAATTACTGACGAGATGTACCCCTGTGCTTATCAGGCTTTGCAGGATCGTTACCAAAATAAACGATTGCTAGCGGCGGTCTACGTCAACCAAATTTTGAATTTTTCCCCTCTTAAATCTCCCTCACACCAATCCTTGAGTAATTTTTTGACGGTTCACAAAAATTCCATTAACGCGTTAAAGTCTTTAAATCTTCCGAACCTCTCTGATTTCGTATTATTTCAATTGGCTGTGAATAATCTTGATCCTACGACCCGCAAGGAATTTGAAAATCAAAATTCCTCCTTAACAATACCTTCATTTCAAAATTTAATGGATTTTGTTACTGAGAAAAATAGGGTCTCCGAAGTTTGTGCATGTACTCCCTCCTCTTCTGGAAGCCCTAGTCAGAAACAAAGACTACCTACGACGAACAGAGTTAAGTATATGAACACTTTGCTTCGCAAAACCTCTGCTCCTACTCACGCCCTCGCTGTTGAAAATTCTTCTAGGATTTGCAACAGATCCTGTATTTTGTGCTCGAGCTCTCACGTCTTTACTCAATGTCCTAATTTGCTGAAACAGGACATCAATCAAAGATACCAAACCGTCCGAAGATTGAAGAGATGCTTCAATTGTTTGGGTGCTCATGCTCGAGAACAATGTACTTCCACACGTGCTTGCCGATTGTGTGGCACCAATAAGCATCATACGTTGTTGCATCCTACCTGGGCAACTGATTTTCCGAATGCGGACGTTTCTTCTCGTCTTTCGCCCTCGCCTAAAATGGAAGCACCTATTGCCGATCCTCCCCCCAATAATCAAACTCTATCTTGTCAGCTCAGTAATTCTCAAACATCTGTTATGTTGGGTACGGTCCAGGCATGTGTCCAGGATTCATGGGGAATTTTCCGCCCAGTTCGCGCACTTCTTGATTCTGGATCGCAAATATCTGCTATTTCTCTCAGTTTGGCCAAGAACTTAGGCCTTCCCATATCACCCTCATCCATCTCTTTATCTGGAGTCAATAAGTGTATCACTCGACCTCATGGTATCGTCGCATGTAATATTAGGCCTCGCTTTAATAATGGGAATGCGTTCTCTTTGGACATGTTGGTACTCTCTAATATTGCTAATCCTCTCCCGTCGATGTCAGTTTCTCAGGAAGTTCTTCAACGATTCCAAAAGCTATCCTTAGCTGATCGAACATATCACATCCCTGGAGCTGTGGACATGATTCTCGGGGCTGATAGTTTTTCGGACATTATTGAAGAAGGAAGTACAATATTGCCCGGCCAACCCTGTGCAATGAAAAGCATCTTTGGATGGGTTATTTATGGCAAGGTCAATTCCTGTCCACCAGAGAACCCTCAGACATCTCTCACTGTCTTTTCAGATCAACCAGAATTCGACGTACGCTCCTTTTGGGAAGTGGAAGAGGTAAAAATTCTACCCTCTGAAGATCCAAATGATTCATTTTGTGAAAGCCACTTTAAGGAAACCCATTACCGAGAGCCCTCAGGACGTTACGTAGTTTCATTGCCATTCTCTCCCGATGCTTCTCCTCTTATGACGAACCGCCCTAACGTTTTCCGCTCTTTCCTATCGTTTGAACGACGCTTAAGGAAACATCAAGAATATTTCAACTCATATCAAGAGTTCATGAAGGAATATCTGGTCCTTAATCATATGCAATTATCCACTAATCCTTCGACTTACGTTTTACCACACCATTGCGTATCTAAAAGTTCTTCCTCTACGACGAAGGTTCGTGTGGTGTTTAACGCTTCCTCTCCTGATTCTTCAGGTTGTTCACTTAATCAAAGGCTTTTGAGTGGCCCCAAACTTCAGTCCGATCTTAGCGATATCCTCACTACATTTAGGCAATATGCGGTAGGATTATGCGGAGACCTCAAAATGATGTATCGTCAGATTATTTTACACCCGAAGGATAGGCGTTTCCAACACATTTTTTGGCGTCCCCATAATGAAAGTAAAGTTCTGGAATATGAACTTAATACCGTGACCTACGGAATGACCCCCTCTGCGTATCTAGCACAAAGAGTTCTACGCCAATTGCTTATCGATGAAGGCGCAAATTACCCTTTGGCCAAAGAAGCCCTCTCTCATCAAACGTACATAGATGACGTCATCACCGGCGCTTCTAGCCCTGAGCAAGCTCGTGTATTAAGATCACAGTTAATTTCATTGCTTTCGAAGGGTAGGTTTGAGTTGAGAAAATGGTCCAGCAATGATGCTTCCGTGCTTGCTGACTTACCCTTTGATCATCTGGAGGTTCCGGTCATCTTCGCAACTGATGACAAATGTATAAAAATTCTTGGGCTAAATTGGAACCCGAAAAGTGATTGTTTTAAATTTAATGTCCAGTCCTTCGATGCGTTACCAACTAAAAGATCCATACTCTCATATGTAGCAAGAATATTTGATCCTCTCGGATTTCTCACGCCCGTTACTTTCTGGATCAAGTATTTTTTGCAACGTCTTTGGCTTACCAAAGTCGATTGGGATGAAACCCTTCCTTCCGAGCTTCTCTCTTCGTGGCAATCCTTCGCGTCAGAAATTCTATCTCTGATTGATTTTCAAATCCCTAGATCCTTTTTCTTCCCCAATACTACCTGTCATTTATTGGGATTTTGCGATGCTTCAGAGAAGGGTTATGCTGCTGTTACATATCTTCTCTTTCAGAGTCATAATAAAAGGCAGCTTTCCTTTTTAAAGGCCAAAAGCAAAGTAGCACCTCTTAAAACCATATCAGTACCCCGTCTCGAACTTTGCGCTGCCCTACTTCTCTCCCGACTCGTCCAGCATATCCCTGAATTAAGCTTCTCCTTTAAGTCTCGACATTATTTTTCCGATTCCATGATAGTTCTTTCATGGTTGTCGACTCCTCCTCATCAACTCAAGACCTTTGTTGCAAATCGGGTGGTACAGATTTTGGAAACAACAGAGCCATCTGATTGGAAACATATTTCAACTAACGACAATCCAGCCGATTGCGCCTCTCGAGGTCTTACTCCCGCTGCATTTACGAAGTATGATGCTTGGGTGGAGGGTCCCTCGCTTCTTAGTGACCCCTCTTTTCTTCAACCTCAATCGCTCACTTTAATACCCTCACAAGAGTTGGTGGATATCAAGCAGTCTATTAGTTGTCTTGCTTGTGTGCCCGATGAAAACTTGTTAATAACCACATTTTCAAGGTTCTCGACACTTAGCAAACTCCAACGGGTTTTTGCATATGTTAATCGTTTCATTTCTAACGCCTGCAAAAATTGCGATAATTCTCCAGCTGGTCCCTTGACAGTCCCTGAATTGGATCAGGCTCTACACACATGTATACAGGTGACACAACGATTTTATTTTACTAAAGAATTGGCGCTTCTTAAGAACAATGGTCACAGTAACCACTCACTTCTTTCTCTGTCCCCATTCCTAGATAAAAAAGGGCTTCTCAGGGTGGGCGGCAGATTAGACCAGTCCTTATTACCTTTCCCTTCCAAACATCCAATAATTCTACCTAAGAAATCTCACATCGCTGCCTTAATATGTGACTACTATCACACCATTTCTCTTCACTCAGGCCCATTAACTGTCCAATCTCTGATTAGGCGAAAATATTGGATTGTCTCCTCACGTTCTTTAATTCGTCAACGCATTCGCCGGTGTCTAACTTGCCATAAATTCAGAGGGGAAACAGTGATTCCTCTTATGTCGGATCTACCTTCCTTTCGAAGCAAACCCTCTCGTGCTTTCACTCATGTCGGAACAGATTTCGCCGGTCCCTTCATGGTTCGGGAATCCCTTCGACGAAAACACCTTCTTACGAAAGGATACTTATGCATCTTCATATGTATGTCGACTAAAGCGGTTCATTTGGAAATGGTTTCTAAATTGAGCACGGAAGCTTTCTTGTCTTGTTTTGACCGTTTTATCTCACGAAGGGGTTTACCTCTAGTCATCTACTCTGACTGCGGTCGAAATTTCGTTGGAGCTTCTCGTCAATTAATCGAATTTCGGCAATTTCTGAGTGACGAAGAAAAGGTACTTCAGTCTCATGCCGCTCAGAAGGGTATCTCATGGAAATTCAATCCTCCCGCTGCACCTCACTTTGGTGGGATATGGGAGGCTGCGGTCAAATCTTCGAAAAGGCTGTTGCATCGTCTAATCGGAGATACTTCGTTAACCTTCGAGGAATATTGTACATTGTTTGCAAGAATCGAAGCAGTCCTCAACAGCCGGCCTCTATGCGCTATTCCTCCCGATCATAAAGACGACTCCGATTTTCTCAGTCCAGGGCACTTCTTAACGGGAGCTCCCTTACTCGCTCCACCTGAACCGGATTTTTCGGAGCAGCTTCCTCCTTTTACTCGTTGGAAGCGAGTAAAACAACTGCATCAAATATTTTGGAGAAGATGGTCTTCTGAATATTTAAATACGTTACTGCAGCGGAATAAATGGCAGAAGGCCACCCCATCCATAAAGCCCGGGGAAGTCGTCTTTATCAAAAACGCTCGTACCTCTCCGCTTTCGTGGGCCATAGGGAGAGTACAAGAGATCTTTCCTGGCCCCGACTCGCGTACTAGGGTGGTCAAGGTGCGAACTACCGCCGGTTCCTTCATAAGACCTGTCCACAACTTACTTACACTTCCTCCTACTGCCTAAGAACCCTATTTACTTTCTCCTTGTATATAGTTTAATATTTTTTGTTTAATTTCTATAGAAGTGTAAATTTTCTTTAAAATTTGGTGGGCGGAATGTTTACGCCAACTGTACCTTTGTACATAGATTGTAAATAGTCCAACAAGTAGTTNTAATAAATAAATTTAATTAAAAAAAAAAAAAAAAAAAAAAAAAAATTGCCCCCCATTTCTCCGGCACGTTAAACTCTCATTTTTTGTTTCTTTTTTTATTTTAATATCTTGATATTCCACATTAATTCTATCTTTATACAACCCTTTCTCACATTCATTTTCTCTCTTTCTCTCAATATCTATCTATCTATTACTATATCAACACATCTATCAATTTGTTTATCTATCTATCTGTTAATATTTGTATATTATTTTATAATAAACTAAGAGGTTATAGAGAAAAACCGATCTAGGTTTTAATGTCGTTGGCAATTGAATTTCGCTCCTGGATAGCATGCCGTAAATCCGCCTTTTACGGGATTGATTGGTGATCTGAAATGACCCGAGTTTCTCCAGTCATCCTGGATCTTGGATGGCCTTGAACACTAACGAATAATCAGTGCTATATATCGCAATGATTTATTTTCTGTATGGAAAGTGTTGGTTTTAAGTAAGTAATATTGGATTAAACGTTTCACTATAACACAAACAAAATTAACCGTGTTAATATAATAAATATCATTTTTTTTCATCCCGGGATAGCAAAACATAAAACTGAGTGTAATAAACCAAGAAAAGCGCGTCCTGCAACTTGACGTTGATTTCTTCGTATGGGTAATAGCGTTGTAATTATTAATCCCAAATCTATTTCATATATATAAAAAGTAAAATTACTATAAAGAATTAAAAATCAAAAACTAAAAAAAACGTTAAGTTGTCGTCCAAATTTTAAAAGGATTTATAACCTCATATTTTCACATAAGTTGAATCGTGTATACCTTGAGTATAAACCTCCTTTGAACAATTCCCAAATTCAAATTGTCACCGAATTAGATCTCAATTTTCCCTCAGAGCAAATTAGTCTTATTAACACAGACGGAATACTGTCAGGCTCTTAGTACTTTGATCAAATCTGCCTTGTCGAGCGTTGTTCTGCCGTTTGAACACGAATGGATTCATTGCACTAGAATCTTATCTGACCGGCTAGAATTATAGCGGAACCAACCGTGAAATAATATATAGCGATATGAATCAATTGTTTTCTGAAGCGTTATAATTCATTAGATTTATTTACTATACATTTTTTGATAAATTTGTCATCATTTTTCTTATATTTTAAAACAATGGCTGCTCCATTGACTCAATTTTTTTATATTCAGTATAGAATTATAATTTTTTAGAATGAATACAATTCTCAGGTTCTGAAAAACACGAAATACATAGTTAAAGAAGCCAGAAACAAGGATAATTCAAGAAGTACTAAATTGGCACGAAACAGTTGCTAAAGCACTACAATTATTAATCGCCGGTTGAATCAACATGATTAAAATTCTCAGGTTCTGAAAAACACGAAATACATAGTTAAAGAAGCCAGAAACAAGGATAGTTCAAGAAATACTAAATTGGCACGAAACAGTTGCTAAAGCACTACAATTCATAATCGCCGGTTGAATCAACATGATTAAAATTCCTTTCGGGCCCTAAATATATTCAGAACCGATGGTCAATTGATTTGTCAATATGACGGGTAACATGTTCTTGTTATCGTTAATAATACGTGAACTCAGTCAGGGTTTAATAATTCAAAATTAATTTGTGGATTATCAAAATATTCGTTTATTGTTATTGGAGATCAAAACAATTCGTTATTTCCTTGTTAATCTACGCAACCTTTATTAATCGATGGACCATTAGATAAAAAATATTCAGAAACAGAGAGGATAGACTAAAGAGAACTGAACTGAATTGAAATTTTATTTTTTACGCGTACAGATTTAGGGATTTCTATCCTCTCTGCCAATTTTGCACACATTAGTTGAAAATGTTTTCCCAGACGTTTCATTAGAAGTAACAATTGTGTTTAATTGATGTGATAACATTTTTGTTAAATGAAATTAAATAGTCGGAAATTAAAAAGGTAAAAAAATGTGTAAATTAAATGTACTCAATTTTATTAATAAACATGAATATTGTAATTTTATAAGTAATAAAATATAGTTTTAAACCAATATTTATGAAAGGTACTGGTTAAAATAGAAAAGTCAGTGTTACGATTGGGATTCGAACCCACGACCTTCGGCTAGATACGCCGCTGCTCTACCACTTGAGCTATCGCGACCTCGATCCAATCGGACATCAACTTCCCACCTCAACCACACCTTTTTGAATTTTCCCGCCTTTTTGTCATTTTTCAAATGTCGTTCAAATGTCGTGTAATCTATTTGATTCTGGGCGACAAAGGAAATGGCCACGGAGAGATTTCGTGAAGATATACTTCAGTTTAATTATTAAATCCATTACAGTTCGTGGTGCGACTGACCAATTAACATTTTTTTATTAATTGATATTTATGAAAGGTATCGGTTGAGATAAAGATTCGAAGTCACGATGGCTAAAGAGCAGCGGCGTATTTAGCCGAAGGTCGTGGGTTCGAATCCCGCTCGTGACCCTGACTTTTTTATCTTAACCAATACCTTAATTGTTTTAAACCAAGTTCAATTATTTTTATTTATTATAATATTCATTCCTATTAACTTAAAGTTTGATTCACTAATTTCGTGGTCCGCTTGACCAATGAATATATTACAATTAATTAAGGTTTGTAGTTGAGATAAAAAATTCAATGGAACGAGCGGGATTCGAACCCACGATCTTCGGCTAGATACGCCGCTGCTCTACCACTTCAGCTTTCGTGAACTCGTTCCACTCGGACACTAACTTCCCATCTCAACCCCACCGTTTTTTAATTTTCCCTCCTTTTTGCCTTTTTTATCTCAACTAAAAACCTTAATTAATTGTAATATATTAATTCGTCAAAAGGACCACGAAATTAGTGAATTTAATGATTTAAAATAAATTATACGTCACTAAAGCTCTCCGTGGCCATTTCATTTGTCGTCGAGAATCCAATCCGATTACACGACATTTGAAAAATGGCAAAAAGGAGGGAAAATTAAAAAAAGCTGGGGTTGAGATGGGATAGCTCAAGTGGTATAGCAGCTCGTGGTGGGACTGACAATTAACATTTTTCAATTAATTAATATTTATGAAAGGTATTGGTTAAGATAAAGATTCGAAGTCTCGATAGCTCAAGAGCATCGGCGTATTTAACCGAAGATCGTGGGTTCGAATCCCGCTCGTGCTATTGACTTTTTTATCTCAACTAAAAACCTTAATTAGTTAAAGATTTATTTTTTAAATTAATTAATATTTTTTTCAATTTTTTATAAACAAATTTATATGTTTATTTTCTTGTCAATATGATTTACTATTTATTTTTGAACGTTATTCCATCATTTTACGGACGTTACAATATTACGGACTTTTCCTGCTTGATTAGACCAGGTCAAACTGTTATTTACAATTATTCCATGGTTCATGACTCATGTTCGATCATTTAAATCTATTTCGTCAATGTTGATGGTTTTATTTATATTTTCCACTTTTCTTTGTTTTCTAGGATGTCCGATTAATATTGCTTTTCATTTTAAGACATTAATTTTAAACACGTGCTTAATTAATTTTTAACCTTTGAATCATTCTGTTGATAACTTCGTTTACATTATTTATGGCTTAGTCGGCACCGTGAAAATAGAATTGTATATATATTTGAAGGTCGTATGACTGACTTTTTTATCTTAACCAATACCTCTCATAAATATTAATTAATTGAAAAACGTTAATTGGTCAGTCGGACAGGATAAACTCACAAATATGAATTTCTTTCTTATTTCTTTTTTCAAATTGTGTTAATAAATATAACAGAGAATAGTCCTGACTGCGTAGAATCTTGAGGAACTCCTGATAGTATTTACTTTAGGCCAATTTTTTACAGTCAAAATTATTTCTTTCTGTTTGTGTTTTTTATTGTTGCCAATAAAAGATCGTGATAAACAGAATCAAATGCTCGGGCGAAATGAATTAATAAAAGAACAGTTATTTTCCTATTATAAATCTGTTTTCGAATCTTATAAACTTCTATAAGGGCACTTTCTGTTCGACTTACGTTGTATAACCGGGCCTATATTATTTTTTTTAATGTAATTAGTAATTAGAGTATAAATATTTTATCAAAAATTTTCCCAGGTATAGATAGGATACTTATCCTTTGTTCCTAATAATCAATTCTAATAATCCTAAAATTCTTTTTTCACTGTGGCTCTGGAATCTTATTGAGTGGATTTATCAATGTGGATGTGGCTTTTTTAATGTCTTTGAAAAACTGCGAAATAAATTTACTTAATGGTTTTATTATTCTAATGGAGACTCCATGACTTTCTATTGCACAGATTTTATCAGATTAATTGCTTTCACTATTTTGGATCTCTCTGCCCCGTAACGTGGTAATTTGCACAGAAAGAGAGAGAGGGTGAGAGTGAGAGAGAGAGAGAGAGAGAGAGAGAGAGAGAGAGAGAGAGAGGTAGAGAGTTAGTGAGAGGGAGAGAGGGAGGAAGAGAGTGATAGTGAGAGAGAGACAAAGACATAGAGACAGACAGAGTCAGAAAGAGAGAAAATTTTCATTGAAATTCTTCACGGAATAAACCATTTTGTGTGAAGGTTTATAACTCTGTAGATGAAGATATGTATGGAAAAAAAGATAAAAACTAAAACAAATGAAAACCTATATTAAGATATCTTTTCAACTAATCTGTTCTTTTAAAGTTAGTCTGTACTTTTCTTTCGGTGGCAGGAATGTTATGATCTACCAACATGGAAAACAATTCCCTACAAAAATGTTTATAAATGGTTAACTGGTTAGAAAGAAAAAATAAAGTGTTAAATACAGAAAAAAGATCAATAATAGCCAGTATCCAGAAGTAAATTTCATTTGCTTCATATATGATTCAACAATAACAAAAGAACTTTCCTCAGTGAATGTTTTTGTTAATTATAAACTATTGTTTACTGAAGCATATATACAACCAAAATTTTCACTTTTAATATTGTATATGAA